GTTCAACTACACCGTTGGACTGTGGGGTGTAAGCCGTGGTCAGCTCCCTCTGGATGCCCTGCTTCTTGAGCCAGGCCGTCATCTCAGCTCCAAGGAACTCACCACCCCGATCTGTCCTAATCCGCTTCACCACACACTCCGCTTGCTTCTCCACGAACGGCAGCCAACCGTCCCGAATTGTGGAGGCGGCGTGATCTTTCTGCTTCAGCGGATACGCCCACATTAGCCTGCTCCAGTCATCCACTATGGTTAGGAAGTACCGCTCCCCCTTGTGCCCTTGCACCGGCAGCGGCCCCACCAAGTCCATGTGGACCAGCTCCAACGGCTTTTTGCTCCTGCCAGCCACACTATGGAAGGGGAAACGGGTGAACTTTGAAAGGAGGCAAATTTAACAGTTATCATCGGGTGGTTGTCCGTTCAGCTTTAAGCCCTTAACGGCTCCATCCTTCTCCAGCTGCTTCAGCAAAGGCATTGCCACATGCCCCAAACGTCGGTGTGCAGTTGCCCAATCTGTCTCCCCAGATCTGGCCGACACTTTTGTTGGGTGCAAATTCACATTGCACGACATCCTGCCGTCTGTTTGTACGAGTATGCGTGTGCGAATGCATTTGCGTGTGAATGGTATGTTTGTGTGTTTGTTTGCTTTCGCAATTTTCGCTTGAAGCATTTGCAGGTACTCGCAAAATGTGCGCTTCGGCATAACATTGTACGCGCTATGAACAGTACAAGCAGAAAGGACGAGCTCGCAAAGGAACCCAAGATGGAAGCTTTGCGGTTCAACTTACTTGATTGCGCAGATTCAGTTCTATCCAACTCGAAATTGTACTGTTTTGTTTGGTTGACTATAGTGTAGCAGGGCAGGCACTATAGGGGTACAATTTAGGTGAAGGTTGGATGTTGTTTGTCTGTATCTGCATGCTACAGGGCCAGGGGAAACCAGCGGAACCAGCATTTGGCTGGTTGGGCAAAGACAAAACAGGTTCTGTTTTTAGGACCTGAACCTGGTTGTTGTTTCCCCAGGTTGGAAAAACAGAACCAGAGGTTGTTCACCAACCTATCACCTGCTATTTTGTCCAGCCAGGTTGGTTCTGTTGCTTGGAATTATTTGGGATCATCCCTGGTTGTTCCCAGGTTGATTCCCAAGGTCCTTGCTAGCTAGAGCTATTTATTCCTTCTCTGTTTGTACCTGAATATAGTGAAATTGATTCAAGCGAATTCCTTCCTTGCTGGAATTTCTTTTCTACGCGGTGCGACGGCGGAATGCTACCCGAGTCAACGCTAGTACGCTAGCACTCCAACGCTAGGCTAACACTGTCCGAGCCATAACTTCGTAATGGCAGAACTTTTCGCGAGGCAACTTGGCTTATTTTAAAGCTCTCAGAGTGAGCTTCGATATAGGAAATTCTCAGCTTAATCCGATCGACGGTCTGCACGATACGCTGCGCGACGTTCAAGGTACTCTTGCTGTTTTGACTAAGTCCCTCTTGATCCCTCTCTCTACAAACTCGGACCCGAGGATAGGGGCTGGTCTTGTACCAGGCACCCAAGGACCCTTGGAGGTGACCCCGACGAGAGGTTTTAAGAGTGATAAAGTCTTAATAGCTTGAGTTTATTAGGCCCTTACACCAACAAGAGGGACTAAGCCAAAACAGCAAGAGTACCTTAAACGTCGCGCAGCGTATCGTGCAGACCTTCCAGGAAGCGTCAACGTAGGTGCCTGTGGACTTCCAGGAAGCCATCTCTGCGTCCATAGCTGTGTGCCACTGAGAGGAGTAGGGACCCTCTATCGCCTCCACGTAAGAGCGCGGAGTCGGGATGTCAAGTGCATCCGGGTCTCCCTCAGGGGTAAGCAGTACGGACACGAGATGAGGTGAAGCAGCAGCCAGACACTGGAACTCCTCTTGCCTGCCCTCAAGGACGTCCGTGCCAAGGGCACACTCACCCCCGACGGACAGAGGATAGACAGACTCAGACTCAGCAACAAGACTGGCGGCGTAGTCTAGGCGACAGCGAGCAGCAAAGTCGACGAGCTCAGCAACTAGGGCAGACGCAGCAGTGGACTCAAAGGAAGGGTCAGTGACAAGAGTAGCAAGGAGACGCGTGTTAGTAAGACTGGCAGCACGAAGAGAGTCCGACTCCGGGTCGGCAAGAGCAGGAAGAGAAAACTCAGGAGGAGAAGGTAAAGGGGCACGCAGAGGAGCAGTGGACGGACGCAGAGACATCCGGTGCGTGCGAGGGACAGGAGGAGGACGCTGACGCGAACCGCGACCACTAGTGCGAGCAGCACGGACAGGCGACGCAGGGCGAGACGCAGGCTCACGACGCTCAGCAAGACCTCCAGTAGGACCAGTGTAGGGAGACGGAGCAGGCAGTGGGGAGGCCGGCTGTAACTGTAACTGTGATGGGCAGGCTGTGGACACTCGAAGGGAGGAGGAGGACCAGTAGAAGGCGGGAGACCAAGAACCTGCTGTAGGAGCGGAACGAAGTACGGCCGAGGCCGCGCGGCGACTCCAGACACAGCAGGGACAGCACCAGTACCCCCACCGGCAGCACCAGCACCAGCAGCACCTCCAGCTCCAGTACCTCCAGCAGCACCAGTAGCACCCCCAGCAGGACCGCCTCCAGGACCGACAGCCGTAGCCTCCGCGCCAACACCCGCAGCAGCTCCAACTCCAGAAGTACCCGCAGGCCCAGCAGCTCCAGTACTCCTAGTACGAGCACCTCCGGGACCCGCGGCAGCAGCACCCTCAGCAGCAGCAGAACCTCTAGTATGCGCAGCACCTCCAGCTCCAGCAGCTCGCCTCCAGCGCCGGGCAAACCACTCACGCAGCTCCTATGGAGAGAGTGGCTCCCGGCGAGACGAAGCACCCGGAGAACCGCCAAGCACAGCACCGCCAGACGCCACATGAGCAGGCCCAGCTCCCTCAGGCTCAGCACCTCCAGACTCAGCACCTCCAGGCGTAGCACCCCCAGGCGTAGCTCCCCCAGGCTCAGCACCCCCAAGCTCAGCACTCCCATGCTAAGCACCCCCAGGCTCAGCACCCCCAGGCTCAGCACCCCCAGGCTCAGCACCCCCAGGCTTAGCACTCCCAGGCTCAGCACCACCAAGCTCAGCACCCCCAGGCGTAGCACCCACACGCTCAGCACCCACAGAGTCAGCACCCCCAGGCTCAGCACCCTCTGCAGCACCAGAGTCACCAGCGACCTCGACAGGCTCAACAGCGTCTACCTGGGACACACCTGAAGGGGCAGGACCCTGAGGGGGGAGGGGGTCTACCGGGGGGGGACCTGGCACAAGGAAGAGCGGTGGCGGGGGGAGGGACGGAGTGCGGTAGGGGAAGAGACGGTAGTAGGGGACCGACTCGTCGAATGTGACGTCCTGGGAGGACAGAACACGGTGAGAGGTGGGGTGGTAGAACTGCCACCCTTGCGCGTCAGGGGGAAAACCCAGGAAGACGCAAGGAGCAGCACGAGGGGACAGCTTGTCCGCAGACAAGTCGCGGACAAACGCCCGAGATCCCCAGACACGGAACGCAGACGCATCGCCAACCTTCCCCGTCCACAGCAAAGCTGGGGAGGTCTCCGGCATGGAGACCCTGGGCTGAAGGTTGATCTGATGCGCCGCGTACCGGACCGCAAACGGCCACAAAAAATGGGGACAGCCGCATGCATCATGGACGTACGAGCGACGTCCATGACCATGCCAATGCGGCGCTCAGCAATCCCATTTTGCTGTGGAGAGTCCGGAAGCGTGAAGGTCTGGCGGATGCCTCGTTCACGACAGTAGGCTCGCAGAAGGCCAGAAGAGAACTCTCCGCCTCTGTCAGAGTGTAGACGCAGAACAGGAAAGTCCGAGCCGAAGCTCTGCCTGAGCTGGAGACGAGCTGCGCGGATCCAGTCGATCAACACCCCAGTGACATCACCCTTGCTGCGCAAGGGGAAGACTGTGGTGTAACGCGAGTAGTCGTCAACCACCAGCAAGAAGTAGCGCTCGTGACCCTGTCCACGGACGCGGGCCGGGCCCCACACGTCCATGTGAAGCGTCAGCAGCGGGGTCTCTGTCGGAGGAAACTGAGAGGAGTGAGGGGCAGCCCGCTACCGCCCCTCGACACAGGGGATGCAGGTAGGGCCAGGCCCCGGAGGAAGGGGAGGGAGGGACCGGGGAAGACCAGAGACAAGGACACGGGAGGCCATGCTTCGGAGACGAACCAGGGAGGGGTGACCAAGGCGGTGGTGCCAGAGGAGAGTCTCGTGAGACAGGAGACGACACGAGCAGGGGGCAGACTCAGGACCGGACTTGGACGCTGCAGCAAACACCTGACCCGACGCAGCTACCTGACCAGACGCAGTGACTGGAGGAGACGCAGTGGTCAGCGTGTAGAGGCTCGACCCCGGCCGACGCGTAAACGTGGCCAGGTGTCGGGGTGTCCGAGCGTCCGTGCAGTGGGTCACCTGTTGACTGGCAGGAGTGAACTGGTGAACCCCCGCATCCTGTAGGTCAGCACCACTCACCAAGTTCGTAGAGAACGAGGGGAGGTAAAGACCAGACAGGGTGCCAGAGGGGGCCGCCGGACACGGGAGGACAGTGGAGAAGTGAGCAAGGACAGGACCCCTAGAGGGGTCTGCCAGAGAGACTGCAACTGGCTGACCAAGCGGCGTGAGTGTGGTGCGGTCTCGAAAGAAGGACCGGGAAGCCCCCGAGGCAAGAGTGAAGGTGTGAGAGGCCCCAGCCGATCGGTACCTGAGAGAGTTGACTCACCCGCACCTGAGGAAGCAGACTCACTAGCACCTAGAGCAGCAGCCGCACCTGTACCTGGAGCAGGAGACTCACTAGCACCCAGAGCAGCAGCCTCACCAGCAGCTCGAGCAGCAGGCTCTATACCCGGGTCAGGCGGTACGCACAGGTGAGGCGATGGGAGGGGGTGATGTGCTATGCTGAGATGTGTGCTGTTGGTGGGCGGATGCATGGAGGCAGGGGCATGATCTTGCTTGGCTTGCTGATGCTCAGCACTGTGTGGTTCGGGCCATCACAACCGTTCGTTGTGTTCTCATCTGCAGTTACACGGCAGTGAACCCATGTGTGAAGCAGCAAGGGTTCGGATTTGTCTTTTCCTAGCTCCCTTCCCCCCACATTCGTTTCCCTCCCATCAACCCCCCAGGTGCTAGACATATTGACGGACGAGTCATCTTTCCCATATGGAGACGACTTTGGAGACGTCTCAAAAGCCATATGGAGCAGAGGGCCCGGCAGTGGATGGGCATCTGAAGCACCCCACGTGCTTACACCCTCCTTTTCTCCCCCCGCCCTATTCCCCGCCCATCACCCCCAGCTGTTGGACATAGTGATAGACGAGTCCTCTCTGCCCTACGGGGCAGAGGGTCCGGCAGAGGATGGGCATCTGAAGCACCACGTGCTAGCAGCCTGGCTTTCCCCCTCACTTTACTCCCCTATTCTTCCCTTCCCATGATCCCCCCAGCTGCTGGACATAATGACGGACGAGTCATCTCTCCCGTACGGAGCAGAGGGTCCGGCAGTGGACGGGCATCTGAAACAGCACGTGCTGGCAGCGTTGCAGCAGGTGGTGGGCGCCGATGGGGGCAGCTGGGTGGGACGATCAGCAGGCGATTACCGGCGACAGCTGGCTGATGCATGGGGCATGTGAGGAATATGAGGGTTTGGGGTCTGGAGTGAGCACTGTAGCGAGATCGATCATAGACAGTGCTGCAAGATGCTTCAGGAAGGAGTGCGAGCTGCTGTGGCAGCTGGGCCTTGGGGTTAACCTGCAGTTGCATTGTTGTCTGTCCTTGACTCTTCTCTTTTGGAGCTTTGGTCCAGTCCATTGTGTTTGGTTTGCTGAGTGGTAGTGTCTGTGTATTTACCTTGGTAGTCTACAACTCCGTGTTGGTATTCTGTTTTAGTACAGCTGGATCGAAAGTATACCGTATACGTCAAATAGATAGCATGCAAACAAGGAAGTTGCCAAATACTATCCACCCAGCTCACACACAATCACTCATGTCAGACACACCAAACCAAACCCTTCCATATCAAAGTTCCATGCAACTTGCCCTGCCATCCCATGTGCCAATGCCCTGCCATACAACACACCACAACAATATCCCTGTCATAACATAAAATGGGGAGCTCAAATCTTCCCCCCTACCACGAAAGAGCCTCCCTCACACAACTCTCCCCCTCAGCGGGAGATGGGCTGCACCACGAGGGGGGAGCGCACGCTGTGGCCCTGGTTGTCAGCCCAGACTATAAACCCGTACTTGAAGTCATTACTGGGGGTATCCACCGTAAACGTCAGCGTGTAGCTCGCCTTCTCCCCAGGAGCAAGCGTGAGGCTCTTAGCCGACGAAGTCACCTTCACCCCCTGCGGCGCCTTCCCAGATATGCTGTATGTGGACCGGGACTGCCCCACGTTGGTGACGGTGCGGGTGACCTGCAGGGATCCCTGCAGGCAAGGCAGAGTGATGGTGGGCAGGTTGAGGTTGCGAACAGCCAGAGGAGAGAGCTTCACCCCCCAGAACTCCCTTGTCGCGCGGTTGAGGTCGTGCCCGGCAAGGAAATTCTGGTAGTCACGGTCGCGGACATCGTAGGTAAGCCCGGGGTCGAGCATGGCCGGGGGGAACACGTGGCCTGCGCCCATCTCCCACGGGGTGGCCTCCCTGCCCGTCGAACTCTTGATCGGGCTCTTGCTCGTGTCCGTCACCCGCACCGTCGTCATCAGCGCTGACATCACCTGCGCTGGGGTCCAGTTGGGGTACTTCTGGATGATTAAAGCGGCTAGCCCGGCTAAATGCAGGGTGGCCATAGAAGTGCCCGACATGCTGGCAAGACTGCCGGTTTCACCGGGTTTCTTGCCAGGAAAGGCAGCTAAGAGGTTCACTCCGGGGCCGATGATGTCGGGCTTTAAGATGGCGTTGCTTGCCTTGGGCGGCTGGGCCGTGGCGGAGGGCTGCAGCAGGGGGCCACGGGAAGAGAAGTCAGCCACCACGGGGGCGGAGGAGGACACAGTAATGAACGTAATCCCGCCGTCAGCAGTCAGAACGGTGCTGCTGCTGCCGCCCGTGCTGTCAGTGCCGTTGCTGCTGGTGGTGGCGCCGAGAGCGAGCGACTGAGCGCCGGCAGTTGAGGAGGCGAGGGACGCGCCGCCTCGGGCAATGGTGCTGGCGCCAACAGTGAGGTAGAAAGGCGCAAAGTTGTCCAACGTGCGGTAGTACCCTCCACCAATACTCCCGGGAGGCCCGCTGTTGCCGGCAGCAAAGGTGACAAACACCCCGGCAGCATTGGCGCGCATGAAAGCGAGATCGTTGAAATAGTGGTCGTTGGGATCGGGAATCTTGCTGCCCAGAGTCAGCGACAACACATCCACACCGTCCGCCACGCCCTGATTGACGGCTGCGATGATATCTGACTCCATCGCGGTCATTGCCCCGTTGCCGTCCTTCCAGAAGACCTTGTACGCCGCAATGCGCGCTGCCGGCGCCATGCCGCTCACCTGCCCGCCGCCCTTCACATTCACGGGGTTGCCCGTGGCCGCCCCCGCGCACCACGTGCCATGGCCGTCCGCATCTCGCGGCGTGAGCCAGTCGTTGCTCAGCACGGGCCGGCCGTAGCTCTGCTGGAAGCCGGCATAGAAGGCCTTGGCGCCGATCAACTTGTTGTTGCACCGGAACAAGCTCGACTGCTCGCACTTGCCCTTCCACCCCGCGGGCAGCTGCGCGGAGAGGCCCTTATCGCTGAAGGAAGGGTGTTCGGGCCAGATACCCGTGTCCACAATCCCCACCACCGTGCCCTCGCCCGCCTTGCTCTGCCCGCCAACTGCCGGCCACACCTTTCCGGGCAGCCCCAGGAACTGCGGAGAGTCGGTCGTCTGCCGGCTGAACACGCGGCTGGCGCGGACGGACGCCACGGCGGGGTTGCGCCGCAGCCGCCACAGCTGGCGCAGCGTGAGGCGCGCGGCGAAGCCGTTGGACGTGTGCTTGTAGCTGTAGAGCAGCCCATCCTCGGGTACGCCTGCCTCAGATGCCACCTGCGCCTGCTGCCGCTGCAGCAGCCCCGCGAACGCCGCCACCTGGGGGCGGTCCATGCTCAGACTCAGCCGGTGCCGCGGACACCCGCCGCCGCCATTCCGACCGCCGTTACCGTTACCGCTGCGACCGCCGCGAGCGCTCGGAGTGGCGGCGGCATCAGATGTGCCGTTTGCGGGCGGTGATGATGGCACCGTCGCGTTTGAGAGCTGCTGGTCGCCGTCGGTGTCGTCCAGATCGACGGACTCGCCGCCTGCGGCGGCGGCGGAATCTCCGGCGGGGAGAATCATCTGCGGCACTTCCTCACTGTCCTCTTCGTCGCTGCCGTCGTCCCACGTGGCCGTCGCGGGGTAGCCCGCAATTCCGCCGCGATATTCGGTGAGGGGAGGCGCCGTGCTCAGGCGAACAATGTATACCGCGGAGCCGTCGGCAGCTGGCGTTGCAAAATTTCCGGAGTTTCTGCGGGAGGTCGCCGAGAAGTGAGCATTCTCGCCGCCGTTCCGCCAATTAGCGCGGTTCAAGTTGCGCCAAGCTGATTCGCGACTTGCACTGGATGGCTGCGCCGCCACGAGGAATGCGGCGAGAAGCAGTAGCATAAAGATTTCAGAAAAGTCCCTCATGGCGATATATGAAATCTCTGCGTGTAGTTACTGGTTCTAGTGGTGCCTGTCACGGTTGCCTGCAGGCGTTGTTGGCCTAAAACAAGTAGTCGTAGTAGCAGAACGAATCAAGGAACTGAATTGTGATGCTGGTTCGAGTGGGGTTATGCCTCGCTTTGTACTCACCAGCTCACATGCCAAGCGTCAGCGCAACGTTTGGGTCGAGGCCTCGTCGCACCGCGATGCCCCTGGTGGGGGAAATCTCGGACTCCTGCAGCTTTGGTTGAACAATGTTTCGCCAGTATCGCGAAACATTTCTTGTCCTATAACGAATGATTGTAAGCCTGCCTCGGGGGCTTCGAGATGCAATCACGTATTCGTTAACGTTTTCGCAACCACACCCTCCTCAATGGCTCTTCACAAACCGTGACGGGCACTTCACGCTTGGTCCGAGCGTGCACGAGACAGGGCAGACCCTGTGCTTCAGAGGCTTGTGGTTACCAGCACTTCCGTTCGCATCAGATCTCCTGCCCAGGGAAATTCGTGCTGGTAACTTGCGGTCTTTGATTCGGCAAAATACAGTCACGGAAGTCAACTGTGGGTCAGAGACCTCTGGCAACGAGCAAGAAGTTAGATCAATGGTGGGTACATGTTACGAGTGCAATTGAGTGAACGAACGAGAATTGCACTATCGAAGCAAGAATACAAATGAGCGAACATTATATAGCGAAACTACAGTGGTAACGGTAATGGTCACGCGACGAGCCTGGGACTGAGGTTGGGAAAGTGTCGAAGCGTAGGTCCGGAGCGCGGGTTACCAGCCGAGCCGTGGGGTCGGGATGCGATGTGCGAAAAGGGCGGGATGATGAATGATGCGATGGTCGCGAGTGGTAACGGTGCTGACTGAGGTGCTACAGTGATGTACGCGTTGAGCAGGGACGCGAAGTAAGGAAAAGGGAATTTCCTTACACTACCCCCCCCTCCTAAGGAGGTCCTCCTTATGAAAGCGCGTGGATGTCTCGGAAATTGCGGCTACGCAGGTAGTCGGTGACGACGGGGTGATTTTCAACTTTCTCCAGGGGAACCCAATTGTCCTCGGTGGGGGTACGATCTTTCCAGCAGATCAGAAACTCCACTTTTCGGGCTCCTTGAGGGTCGCGAACTCTGTGGCTCAGGATCTTGTCGGGGGTGATGACTGGTTCGGTTGGTGGTCCGTGCTGCTTGCAGAATCTCGGCGAACTGTTGTGCTCGTGGGACGGGGTTGTCGGGATTCGGTGTCATGGGTACTGTTGGGTCCTGTCCGTAATTCAAGTAAAACGGCGACTGTTGCGTCGTGGCTGATGGTGCGTTATTGTATGCGAACTCGATGAGTGGCAGCTGCTGTTCCCACGTATTTGGATCGTCGCACGTGGCTCGAATTAGCTGCTCCATGGTCTGATTTGTCCGTTCCGTCTGTCCGTCGGTTTCGGGGTGATAGGATGAACTGAACTGTAAGCGCGTGCCGAACTGCTGCCACAGGTTCCGCCAGAAGTTGCTTGTAAATTTCGTGTCTCTGTCGCTGATGATCGATGCGGGTATCCCGTGCAGTCGAACGACGGTGGTGATGAAGAGTCGGGCGGTTTCCTCGGCTGTGATTGATTTCCTGCATGCTGCGAAATGAGCCATCTTCGTTAGTCGATCGACGACGACCAGGATCGCGTCATTCCCACTCGCCCCAGCTGGTAACCCCGTGACGAAATCCATCGTCACCTGCTGCCAAACACGCTCTGGGGGCGGGATGGGTTGTAATTGTCCCGCCGGCCGCTTCCTGCTTGACTTCATGAGCTGGCAAGTGGGGCACGATGCCACGTGTCGTTGCATTTCGGTCAACATTTCTGGCCAGTAGTAGTACCGCTGCAGCTGCTGCCGTGTTTTTTCTACCCCAAAATGTCCCGAGGTAACTCCATCGTGTGCCTCCTGTAACAGTAGTTCCCGCAGTAGCGTGTATCCTAGTACCCAGATGCGGTCGGTTCCAGCTTTTACGT